CTTTCCCTTCTGTTATTTTTACATCTTACCAAAGGTGGTATCATTTCATCAGATACCTGCTTCTTCTCTTTAGACCTTTGTCTCTATCCCGCTCTCATCTCATATCAAATCTTTCACAGCTGTTCAGAAGAATGCTGCATTAGATTCAGATCAATCACAAACAAAATCAACTTTGTATGTTTTTTTCTTAATTTTCTTTGTCCTTTTGCTTGGTTGTAGATGACCATTACTTTCCACTCAGGCCATACCCTAGAACTCCTCTTCAACGCACTATACATCCAATCAGTATCCAAAATTTCTTCTCAAATACACTGATTTTTTTTTCTGTTTATTTCACTGTCCTGTTCATATTTTCTACTCCCAGTGCTAAAACCTAATTCCAGCTTCCTTTTACCATGTCTGTATAAGGTGTTACAACCTTTCATTTGTCTTCCCTTGCTCCTGTTTTTGCACCCTCCAAGTCATGCTAAAAAGGAAACTGATAAAGGCTGGGTGTGTTGTTCTCACTGCTCTTCCTTATGCCTTCAGCTTCAATTTCTTGTGCTTCTTTTCCTGTCAGCCTTTGGGTGATATCAGCAGTTGTGTTTCATTTTCTGCCTTTTGCACAGTCCGATGTTCAGGTGTGTGCCTGTCCTTAGTCACCATGTCTTTCCCAAGGAAACCCACACAACACACCGTTTAGTCACATCCTATTTCCAAACAGGTTTACAAAGGGATAGTCCACCAAAACGTTGTCTTGTTTAGGTGTTTAAAATAATTGTCTCTTCTTCCTGACATGCACTAGGGATACAGCACGTGATCCTGTTGTTGTTACACTTTTTTTTCGCTTTCCCATTTTCGTCTCTTGAAAATACTCTTCAGTGAGGGAATCTTGTTTCTTTCTGCCTTATAAAATGTCTGCATGCTAAAATCAATCACAAAACAACTCCGACCAGCTACATCTCCTAAAGAATTGAAGAAAAACTGATTCTGTAGCACTGCAGGAAAGCACGAACAGATAGTGGCTTAGTATGATCCACACTCTACCATGATATAGTGCAATGTTTGGAAAATGGTTTTAAATTTCTAGCTATTTTGGTTTGTCTTTGAATCCCAGATGATTCTTATTCTACCATTGCTATTCGTTTGTTTATTGCCACAGGAAATTAAATATTAAAATGGAAGCTGAAAGAACAGAGTATGATGCTGCCCAGCGTGGATCACTTGCACAGTATTGCCTGCAGGTGATGCACTGTGGGGACCACTGCATTGTCTGCCTGAAAAGAGTGGTTTTATTCTAAAAGAATCACCTGCCAAATGCTTCTTCATGTATTTACATGCTTTAAATAGACCTGTTGCTGTTTTAGTATGAGTAATGAGTAAAGTACTCTGAGGAATTAATAGCTTGGTTTTATGACTGCAGAAACACAGCTAGATATGAATATGATTCTATACAATTTAAAAACTGTAGCAGTAACCTCAGTAGCAAAATTCTGCAGATGTTAAACATGCAGAAGAATATAACATTTAGGGTTTTGATTTTTTTTCTTCTATTTAGGTAGATGCTGTACTGTGCAGGCTATAAAAGTATGTTAGCATAGCAGGAGGTGTCAGAAGCTGTATGCTTGCTGTGTGATTTCTTTTTCTCTTGCAGAAGGGGCTGTTATGTTGTTGGCACGGTGTCGCATTACTCAGAGCAAGTCAGTCCTGCACAGAGCAGGGATTAGCACAGTGCTGCGTATTTTTGGTTTTACTCCAGTATTTGCTGGAGAATAGACCTTTTGAGGATCTTTACAGCATTTTTCTTCTTATTTGAATGAATTTAACTTGATTTAATTCTAAAGTGTTCCCAGTGAGTGTATGGTAGAATCAAATGGAATATAGTTTCTACTCCTATCCTTTACTTTAAGGATACCTCTTTCCTCGTATGATTATTGAAAAAGATTATTTTTAAATATCTTTAGTGTATTGGCAAAGAATCTGCTGCCGCAGGGGTAATGAAATGCTTTTCAGACATCTGTTTTCTCAGTACCTAGCTAAAACAGTAATTTGTTACTGGAAATATATGTTTATTGGCTATGCAATATTATCCCTATTTATAGGCAACTGGTGGGTGTAATTTTTTTTCTTTTTGTGTACTGGTCAAACATTCTCACGATGTTACAGCTTACATATGTAATTATATAGAGTTACCTTCTGATTGTAGTTTACACTCAAAGCCCCAAATCAGTTTTTGTTGCTTGCTCTTTCAGTAAGGGGTAAAGGTAGCTATACCAGAAAATTGAATTAGCAGCTAATCCACTTGCAAGGCCCTGCCAGTGCAGCAGGTGTTGCACTGTGCTAATAGCAGTGCGTAAGCATCAAAACTTGAAGCACACAGGGCCGGAGCGATTAAACCGAATCGTACGTTGTCTTATCAGAGTGGTGGAACAAGTAAGGACACAAGTTCTTTCTTGCTTCAGGAGGATATCTGAGGTTTTGAAAACCTAATGAATACATATGCACTTAGCACTTCCAGATGAGTTACTGGGATGCCCCTTCCTAAAGCGGTAAATGAGGAACAGAAGGAACTTTGCTTTCACAGGCTTATTTGTGCAGCTCTGCTTTGGGTGCTGCTTTTCCATGACTGGCACAGAAGCCTCCTCAAACTTGGACCAACAGCTCCGTGCCATTCGAGTGTGGTACTGATACTCTTTAGAGCATGTAACACAATAAACAGGGAAACATAGGCATATTAGAGGCATTAACATAGTAATTTAATAACTTCAATTTAAACTAAAACCAGCATGTGGCTTGTGTTACTGTTAGACTTTTTAATTATAATCCTGCTGTGCCTCCAAATTTTCATGCATTTCCTCGCTGATAAATGCCTTCCTCGTTGTTGCGAGCGTTTTTGTTTGTCGCAGTGCCCCCGTCGAGTCTGGAAGCCAGAGTCCATTGCACAGTGGGTACTGGGCAAGCGCCTGGGAGCTAGGAAACCATGCACATATAGGTCAGCTGGCTTAGTTACATTAATCCAAGCTTAGTTGCCAATCCATCGTATCTAGTTTAGGTGCCTTGATTCATCCTTGTGAGCTGCTGATTTTTCTCATTTTGGCAATCTGTGTATTTCTAGGCTTCTGAAATTCATCATCTGATACATGCATAAGTGAGCAAGCAGTGACAACATCCTCCTTATGAACTCACTGTTGAGTAAGGGAGAGTGTTCTGCAGAGTTGCCATACAGCAACAACGTCAGATTATGGTTTTTAGCAGCTTTAATACCTCTGCAGGGCATGGTGATGGATAGACTGTAGTTATTAAGCTCCTGCCAGAGAGTCCTGGGCCACTGACGAGGCGGCAGGGGTCTGCACATGTTAATATAGACATTTCTAAAAGAAGTTTTTGTGAGGTTTTGGAGCATGTGTTGCAGGAGCCTCCCAAAAACAGTTTCAGCTTAACATAGTATATATATATGTGTATGTATTAACAAAAAAAGGAAAAAAAAAAAGGGAAAAAAAAGCTTAAATAAAAGTATTGGAATCACAGGTGTTAAATATCACTATGAATAGTATTTATTGTCTTATTCATGCTAATGAATAGTTCCTCTTACGACTTTTGATTTCAGACATGCTAGACTTGTCTGTCTCCTTCCTCCGAGGTGTCAATGAGACTTTCAATAAAGTTGAAGGGACAGAAATGCAAACTCACTCTTTAAAACTGAAGTAGCAATAGCAAAGCAATTTAAAGCAGTAATCTTTGTTTAAATAATATCTTGAATCATAACTTGCCCTGTGAAAACATTCTTAGTCTGAATGAGAGAAGTATCTGATGATACTTTTATTTCTCACTGACAGTGAAGCGTGATGATTAAATAAAACTCATTGGACAATAGAAGTTTTCTTGTGTAGTTGATTGTTGCTATCTTGCCCCTTTACAAATTTCAACTGTTTCTGGGTCTTAGCCTCATAGAGCAAGTGGGAGATACAGACACTTAAAAATGTTTTTTTTCAAGGTTACAACTAAGTTTGCCTCTGTGTCTTTGACTCCTGTTCCGTAAGATGTTGACTGCTGTCCTAATGTGCCATGTGTTACCATATCCACAGCAAAACAATTTACCTCCTAGTTTTAGTGTTCACAGTGTTCTCTCTGAGAGTTTGGGAAGTTAGTAACTTCTTTTGGTTGATGTGTGAGAAATGAATGCTTGATCAGCTGCTGTTACTGGTGCCTTTCGTATGCTCCGCAGCCCCTGCAGTCGTTGTCCCTCGCAGATTCCAAGCTGAAGACTGAAGTCACCATCATTATTAATGCTTTGGGCAGCAATACGTCTCTTACGAAAGTGGATATTAGTGGAAATGCCATGGGAGATATGGGAGCGAAGATGCTAGCCAAAGCCCTACAGATCAACACAAAGCTCAGGTAAGGGTAACATATTTGCAGGATAGTTTTATCACAGTGAAGTCTTTGGCTTACTCTCTGTCTCTCTTCAAGACTCATGGTAGGGGAAGTCTCCCTACAGTGTCTGTGTTTGCAAAGATCCTCTTTTTCACTTAAATAAACAAAGCAAGGAGATTCTTTCAACAAAAACATCTTCAGAACCGATACTGTGAGAAAAATGTTTGATTAACAGAGAATTCCTACTTGCATTGATTAATGTAAGGTGAGGTGTTTGATTGTATCATTCACTTCAAAATTGGGGAAGAGAGGCAGGGTCTTGACAGAATGAACAGAGCTGAGACTTTCCCTATTTCCAAGGCAAAATCCAAAATCCATTTTCATTCAAGCTCAGCTCTGGTAGGATTTAAGCTCTCTTGCTTGTAGTGGCATTTCTTATACTTTTGAAAGGACAATATCCTTCTCTTTTTGCTGTGGCAAGAGGACTCTAAATTTCATAGAATCATAGACAAAAATAGATTGAAAGAGGCTCTCGAGGTCATCTAAACAATCTACTGCTCAAAGCAGGACCTACTTTAAAGTTAGACCATGTTGCTCAGGGATTCTCCAGCCAGGTTTTGAAGATCTCGAGGGACAGGGATTCCACAGCTTTTCTGAGAAACCTGCCCCAGCACTTAGCTACTTTTCTACTGAAGGCCTTTCTAGCAGAGAAAATTATGGTACTTTATTAGGAAACAAAAATAAATTGTTCTTTGTTTTCTGAAGTTTCACTCTGTCGGAAAACTAGGAGCACATAGAAATCAGTTACAGGGGGCAGCACTGACCATCCCTGTTTCAATTGATCTGCTGGACCTTTGTGTCTGTCCTCTTCAACTTTATCCATCCAACAGCTTCACTGTGCCCAGCTCCAAATATGTCCCCATCATCAGGAAAACTAATTCTTAACCCTCCTTTTGTCAGGCTGTACAGATGAACCTTCCATGGCGTATTTTCTGTGAGGAGAGACTGTTTTGTGTTTGGCCTCTAGTGACTTGTTCCCCAGAGGATACGAAATTCCACTGAAGCATCTTTGCCATTTTGTAGAAAAGCAGGGATCTTGGTTTTCACTTTGCTATGTCCAAATGCTGAGGTGGTCACTGAATGCTGGAAATGTCAAGAAACACTAGAGAGATGGCTTGGGTTTGTTTAATGCATCAGCCCAAAATGACCACGAAGAACCTTAAGAAGTAACTGATTGGTTACTGCACCATGTAGGGCTTTGGTTTTGTTTTCAGTAGGTACTTGCAAAGCAGACAGACAAATTTTGTTCTGATGCTCTTCCTGGAAAGAACTGATAACTTGGATTTAAAACTTTTATCTCGAAATCTTTCTAATATCTGTATTTTTTACATGCTAGATATCAATGCAATACTTTTTATATTTTGATACTAATAATGGAAAATATAGTATAAATTTCTATTAAAAGGAGGGTAAACTGAATTTTGTAGTCTCTTTGTCCTTAGCTTTTGCTGTTCTAAGGTTTTAGCTTGTAACTAAGCACAGAGTTTTAAAATGTCATCTTCCATGATATGTATGCATACTTGGACATAGCACTGTGTTACTTTAAAGTACAAAGTTTTATTATGGATAAATTGGATTGTCTGTATTTTGTTTTGTTTTGTTTTCTCTTCAGAACCGTAATATGGGACAAGAATAACATCACTGCACAGGGCTTCCAGGACATAGCAGTGGCACTGGAAAAGTAAGTTCTCAGGCAACTGAATGACAGATGAAAAAGGAGGCCAAAGTCTTAGATCCTGAAAGATCTGAGTGTTGGCAATTCTCCCTGCAGTCAGTGTAATTTGAAGATGCTGGATGCGTCTCAGTTTTAAGCATGTTAATGTAAAATGAAATTTATGACTTCACATTTAACTCAGAGGGTTGAGGAAGCGCTCTGTGGCTCCTTCATCTGCACTGGCTGGCAGCACTCGGGCTAGTGAATTCTGCTGTTGGCGCTAAATTCTGAATCTCAGAATCTCCTCCTCCTCCTCCTCATTTCTCTTGTGTTGATAGAGCATGAATAAACTCCAATGAAATGCACAAAGCTGTATTCAGTAACAGAAAATGGCTAAATGCTAAAAACGCGTGACTTTGTGGTCTCTGTTTTTTTTTTCCCCTTCAGCAAGTTGAAACTAATAGTGATAGTCTCAGGAACTGAAGTTGTTCGTCATAATCTCTGTGGCTTGAGTCATTTTGCTTCACTTGAGCTCACAATTGCAGCAGTTACCAGTGATAGATGCTAAATGACTTGGATCCCTCTCCATCTCCAGCACAATTCTCTACATTTGGTGATTACTTTTGTTGAGAGAGAAAAATTGCAGATTTAAATTAAGCAGTTGTTTTGCAGCATTAAATCCCTTCGACAGGAGCAAAGAGCCTCTTCTGAGGGTGAATGTAACGCTCAATTGCTGTTTTCTAGACAAGATGTCTTGCAAATTTGTATAGCTACTTACGGTAGCAACCTAACCCTTGCAAAGGTCATAATTCTAGTGCTTGTCAACCAGTTTTGTGTGACTGATACAGAAGTCGTTTGTTTCATTAAACTGTCTTTATGTGCTTTGTTTCAAAATCAATTTAGTTGTACCAATGAGGGAAATAATGTAAATGATGTATAATTAAGCACGTTATATTGGAATGATTCCACTGATAGTAGTGAATAATAATTTGGAAAGGTTATTTGTCCAGATATTTCTCTTTCATAGAGCAACAGCATGTATGTTTACAAATCTGGCAGAAAAAAAAATATACACAATTTTCTTTTTAGAATCATATTTTATCTGAGCATTTTAGAAGAGAATAGAAGGACAGGTAGTATCCAAAGCCAAGTGCATCTTGATGATCTAAGCAGAAAAAAAAAGGAAATGCTGTTGACCATTCTGTCAGTTGTTGTAGTGATGTCTTATTCATTTAGCTTGGAAGCTGAAGTCGTGTTCTGCCTTTTTTTTTTTTTAACATATTATAACCATTAAAACCATTGGTAACATCACAGTGTAAGCCTTGAACAAAGGTTTAAATTTGTAAGCCTGGAATTGTCAGTGTTGCCTGAAAAAAATAGTCTTCAAACAATCCATCCATAAGATATATTGAGAACATCCTTCACCATGTGTTTTCTAGAAATACATGATACTATCAGTTTTCTGTAGGAAATAATTGTTGCTCTGAGTGGCATGAAATGTACTGGAGGAGCTTGATGTGTAGAGGGGTGGCTTGTGGGTGTTTTGTTTTTTGCTTTTAAGGGAAAAAAAAAAGATCATATGTTAAACCATAGAGAAAATGAAGAAAAGAGGAAAGGCAGGTCTTCATAGTAAGACAAGGCTGGCTGAGGAGCTTTGGGAGGGATTGTAAGGAAACTTCAAAACATATTGACGTAATTTGAGCATTGCTTCCCCCCTCCTCCCAGCTTTTCTTTGTCTATTTAAGGTTGCATGAAAAAGTTATTCCTGCCATGGAATTCCACAAGCTTCACTATTAACAGAGTTGCCACAACAGACATACAAAGTTAGGAAGAATTTACACAGAATTCTGTAAGGGTGCTAATATAGGAGAATATTTGAGTACACCGTGCATCTGTTCACTCTGTTCAATGTGGATATGCATGTCATTAATTTTGATGGTTAAATAAGTACGTGGTTGTATCTTCTACAGTCTAGAGTCCACTGTATTGTCCCCTACTGATTACTAAAAGACTTTTTCCTATATGGACCTACTGGAGAAATAGCTCAGCTTCTAAAATCTGGTGCAAAATCCTGGGATTTATTGGAGAACTATGAAATCCTTGCTTTTTAATGATACCAAAGTCACATATCTCAGTCTGCAAAATAGGTAGTTGACTTAGCAGTGGGTGAATGTAGCTATGGAATTACTTTGCAAACAAATAAGTAACATGCAGGGTGCAATTATTTCCATAAAGCAGCATTCTATTAAAAATTCCTAAGTGTCTTGAAATTGGTTTGTATATGAGAAAGTATTAAATACTAAATTTTCAAAACTACGCCTTTCCATCTGGCTGTTACAGAATATTTCTGTTTAGACTTTGATCTGATAGAGTTGCCAGCAGGCACTGAGAATTCCTAGTCTGTGTGATACCAACAAAATTAATGCAACCTTGTGAGAAAAGGCACAGAGGACGTTTGAGTGTTTAATCGAAAGCCATTGGGCATTAGCTATTTAACTGCATTTTATGCTTTTTAAAATTTCTGCCCATATTTAGTATCAAAGAGCAGTTAGATACCAAAAGGAGCACACCGCAGTTAGTCCACTTAACAATGTAGAAGATACTGTGAGAATGTGTTCTACAGACAGACAAGATAAATTTTCTCTCCTCGTTTATTCTCTTAGTGAGATACAGTAAGTAGGTTAAGTTTTAAAACCCTTTTTGTATTTTTCTTTAGGAATTATACTTTGAGATTCATGCCTATACCTATGAACGATGCTTCCCAAGCACTGAAAACAAACCCCGAGAAAACAGAAGAGGCGCTGCAAAAGGTAGAGCATATGCCACTCGTGTACAGAACAAAAAGTAATAATTATAAATGGTTGTGTCTTCACGCTTGTCTGAGTAAGAATTCTTGACCAGTTTGCTTGATTGTTTGGTTTGTATGGGCATACATGAGGAAATCAAATACAAGAGCGAGTAGAGTTTTATTCCAAAGAGTGATTGCACTGAATGGTAATAGAACGCAATGGCCTGGTATCAAAAAAGGCATAACTAAACCAGTACAAGCTAGACCAGGTATTTCCCTATGTCCAAGTATGGAAGTGAGGGTTAGAACCTGGCATGTTTGTGCATATGTGCTTGTGTGTTATTTCCAAGTGCACAGGATTATTGGCATGCATTTTTCCCATTGTGGCATGGAGAGTGCAGTCAGTGATGTACAAGAGAAGAAGAATGTTTTTTAATTTGGAAGACAATAAAAACATTTGCTGCTTGTGTTTTGTATAGAATTCACACACTGTTGCCATAAATAAACAACTGCACCAATACGTTCTTCCGGATGAAAATGGTGTTGACAGTATCTGTAGCTGTTCCACTTAGGTGGGTTATAGAAATCCTACCTGAGTTTTAATACAGTAGATGATTCAAGCTCCAAATCAATCTCCCTAGCCAATCAGAAAACATACAGCTCACAACTTTCAAAGAATAGTTTTACTTCAGTCAGAGTAGGGGCGTAGAAGCCTTAAGTAGCTCTTATAGATAGTTGTGATTAAAAAGCAAATGCCTATGGAGCTTATTAGTGAAGAAATTTTCACTAAATGATTCTCAAGAGGAAAAATAGTTGTATTTAGCTCCTGTATCTTTGATGCAAGAAAATGATCTAAATTCTGCTTAAAAATATCTGAATCTTGGGGTTGTTACTTTCATTTTGTCTAATATAACTGTAGGTAGATTTATTTTTGTAATTTTAAACGCATCTCTGAAAAAAATATTGTGAACTATTGTGTACAAAGAGCAATTTTTATTCATTTAATGCTGGTAAGGAATGTGTTTGGCCCTGTGTCTGTTTTAACTTGTGTTGTTCAGGATTTCTTTACCCAACATACAGTAGTCAGGTACGGTGTTCCCCCCACAAATGGTGAAAGTCTCTGGAGCTGTGCCCCTAATTCCATGCACACACAAACACCTACCCGTGCTAATTTAGGGGTGGGGAACCTGGTGCAGGGTCACCAGAGCTGACTGGGAGGGCCAGAAGACCCTCAAGCTTCAGCACACGGTGGTCTGGAAACAGCTGGAGTCTGCTGGCCTCGCTCCAGCAGCAGGTGGGCCTCCTGGCCAAGCTCCCTCCACAGCACTTCCCTTTCACTCTGGACAAACTGGACAACCCTGCGTTACTGTTGGAAGCTGAACGTGAGGCTCTAACTGAGGCTTCTGATTAAAAGGTTACTGCCAGACCCCGTTAGTCTCTGTCTCACAACCTGCTGGCTACTGCCCCCATCTTTTCTCTTCTCTTTCCTTCAGACCAGATCTGTGACCATGGATGGTCCTTAAATTTACTGGTTGGGTTTTTTGCCTTTGCTTGGTTTGACAGAACCAAGTGAGTGGGTAACTATGTGCCCTTGAGCTGGCAGATACTAGGTGGTGATGGTGGATGACAGTAATGTTGGATTAGGAGTAGCAGCTGAGGTTAGGAATCGCTTGTCCCAGAACAGCATTCATGGATTGTTCATCCGTAATGACTTGTGAACTGAAGTTCCTGTTCCAGACATTTGGGGAAATTTTACTCCTCTCAAGTCCATAGTGCCAGGTGAGTCCATTTCTTTCCAATGAGCTGAGTGAATCCAAAAGAAATGAATACAGGTAGGCCCACATCGTAGGCGTTACAGCAACACTTTAAAAAGAGATTCCCTTTCGGTAATTCTCAAACATGGATCTACTCCTTTGTCAACATAACTTCCTGAATTGTTCAAGAGAGAAGATTAATTCAGAAAGCAGTGGCGAAAGCACAAGTGCTCAAATGTGTTTCTCTAGTCAGTGAACGAGTAACACTTCCCAGTGTTTATCAAGCATCGAGACACATAGAGTAAGATTTGCAGATAACAAGCAAAAGGGTACTTAGGTAGTTGTTTCTCCCAGCCTCTGTATCTGATACAGTGGCAATATTGAAAGCAAATGACAATGTAGAGACTTAAATCAGTTGCCTAATAATATTTTTGCCATTTTTTTATTATTTTTAGATAGAAAACTACTTGCTTCGTAATCACGAGACCAGAAAGTACCTGCAGGAGCAGGCGTACCGGCTGCAGCAAGGCATCGTCACCAGCACCACTCAGCAGGTGAGGACCTTGTTCTGTATGGGTAGTTCTTGTTTTTTTGAATCTGGCTTAGGATAAAGTTTTCTTCCACTTGCAGCACAGCAGCTTATAGCAGAATTTGCCTTGTTGGTGGTACTTGGTTTTCTGTAGAAGTAATTATTATCACTTTTTTTTTTTTTCTTGACAAGGCAGGCCTATGTGTACAGGCCTAGTACTGTGCAGAGAAAAACTCAAGCTATCACTCATGATTGTTGTAGGAACTGGGAGGTCTTCTACTCATTGGTACTCAGGAGCCTGAGATGAGAGCAGATTCTCATCAGTGTGATTAGCACCTTCATAAGACTATGCTACTTCTGGTCTCTGCACCAGTTCCAGCGTCTTTACATAGCATTGGAATATCATATAAACACACACTTAGATATCACCAGCACTTATAGCCTTGTAGGGTATGTCATCCTCTGTCTTACACCTTCAGAATTTCATGTATGGGAATTTTACTTAGAGGGACGGAGAAAAGAAACGTAGAATTCCCTTGTGTCACTTATGTTCTGGACAACTGAAAAAAATCCTTGTCTACTGTAGCCCAAAAGGCTGCTTGAAGATGGGAAGTTTTCCTGTTTTGTCTACATCAACTAGGTTTGCTGGAATGTGTCTCCTGCCTTGGGAGAACCCCAAGAGTTTTCTGTGATAGATCAGCATTGTATTTGCTCTGGTCCATCCCTTCCCAGCATCCGTCAGGGCTATTTTCTGCTCCAGTATGGAAGCAGAGTGGCAAAGAGGAAAACTTAGCATAGTATTTACTTTAAATTTGCTTTCACCTTTGTTATATTCCCACATATATGGAAGGTTACAGCAATGGGGAGAGAAGTACCTGTTTTCTCTTTAGCTGAGTTAGTAAAAATTCTGTCCCCTCTGTATTTTTTTTGTGTGTGTGTGTCTTAATTCACAGAGGCCTTTCTCTACCTCCATTATTAAAAGTTAATGGGACAATGTTTCATCACTCGGGCCTGAAAATACTTTCAACCATTTCAACAGAGAAAATGGTACATAGAGATGTACTGGTATTTTAAAACTGCAGTACAGCTGCATCACTTGATTTTATAAAGTCACTCATCTGTTCCAATGCTACCTATTTTCATGTGCTGATCATCTCCATTTGAATTAAGTTTAGGTCTTTCACAGCTTGGTGATTTTTAGTTATATTTTTCCTCAGCGATCACGCACGTCAGGTTTCAGTAAAACTTTATTTATTGTTGTTTTTGAAACAGTAAACCTACCCATTTCTGTATTAAATTCAGTGCAATACAGATGAATTTAAAAAATAGTTTTGAGAGAGAGCTGTAAAAGATATTCTAGCTAGCACGGAATTGCATTATTATTCCCAGAGTGTATTTTTTTAGTCCAGATGTCCCAATGAGACTTTCCCACTGTCTAATAATTCATTAGTTGTTTGCATTTATACAAAAAAAAGCCAAAATCCTTTGAAGAGAAAGAGTCCTGGGGAGCAGAAAAGAAGCATGCTGTGAAATTATTTCAGTTCTCATGGCTAACTGCTTGAGATGTGAGAACTCAGGGTTCTGTGATGATGACGACACATGCACTTGGTTTTTATTTCAAATATCTAATAGTTATTTCAAATGAATATTAGGCAGGACAGTGAAGGCTTTTAAATACTCCTATGCCCTGTATCTCTTAATCAAAATGGACTGTCTGTGCATCTTGTGGTCCAGCTTGTAAGAATACAGATATGCTCCCTGCCCTGTATTTGAAGTGTGTTGATTGAAATAAATGTAGCACAGATGCAAGTGAGATTCCGTTGACTACACCATGAAAGATGTGGTGCAAATTTCTGCTTTGGCAATTATAGTTTCCTTGCAACTGGAAGTATTTGCTTGGTGTAACACTTCCACAAAGCCAGCACAATAGAATTTTGCTCAGACAAGAAAAATCTCTGTTGATGTTTGAATGGATTGTAATGAATGACGCTTTCCACTACTGTCCAAAGTCCTTAACAATTCAGGGGCTTCCCAGGCAAGATTTAGGTATATTAAGAAAGTTTTCAGGATTAAATTCTCTTCAGAAAAGCAAACAAAACCTAAACTGGATATCTTGTTATTTCTCGATGGCTATCCTCCAGATAACTGTGGGAGAAATACATCAAAGGCCTCTTCCTTCTTTTTTTTTCTTTCTTCTTTTTTTTTTTTTTAAGTTCACTCTATTTTCCTAACATTTAGGTGTGTGTATTTATGAGATATAATGCTTTCTTTCAGTACCATTTATATACCTGCCAACTATGATGAAACATTCCCAGCTTGTTACATCCTCTTTGCAAATCCCATAATGATACTTTTGATTTGCTAACTGAACTGATATTTTATCTTCTCTATTTCTATTTCCTTTGTTGAAGTAGATGATTGACAGAATATGTGTTAAAGTGCAAGATCATCTCAACTCTTTAAGAAACTGTGGTGTGGATGTTGTACAGGAAGATGTCAAATCTGCAGAAAGGCTTATGAGGGACGCGAAGAACTCCAAAACGGTAAGCTTTTCCCTGGGTACTGGTAATACTAATCACAGCTTAATTTGTGCTTGCAGCCTTCTCTTTTTGGGGGATTTATAATAGCAACGTGTCACAAAAGATGGTTTTGGTTTTTGAGGGTGTTTTTCTTTTTTTTGACAAGACAGTTGGCTCAAGATAGTATTTAAAATGATAAAGTATTTCTAATTTTTAAAGACTTTGATTTAGCAGAGGTGTTTCATCCTATTTTACCAGATTTTTTCACATTTGGTGATAATTTTTCCATCTTACAGCTGTTACCAAATCTGTACCACCTTGGTGGAGCTTCTTGGGCAGGAGCAAATGGTTCACTTTCCAATCCAATCCAAATGACTCTTGAATCCATGGCTGGAGAAGTCACAAGAGTTGTTGATGAGCAACTTAAGGTATGTGGACAGATATTTTACCAGAAATGACTAATGTCTGGTAGTCTTCTGTTGCTCTTCAAAATGTGAATATGCTGTGCAGAAACATGCTGAGAAGTGAAGAAAACATTGTACATAAGTTGTCCTTTCCTTGTTGATTTCTTAGATCTTTGTGCCTTAGTATACTTGCCAAGTTGGAATGAAAAAGTTACAACGGTGTTTGCAGCAGGCAAGAGAGGCATTGTTTGTATGAAATGGAATTTCCACAGAAAAATTAAGAGACCACGTGTCTTAAAAAAGAGAGCATGTGTCTCTTGGGATTCTTCTGCAATGGAAGACTTCCCAACTGTTGCACAGGCCCTTAATAATTCACATGCAACAGGTGAAAAGTATCAGTCCAGCAAGAACATAAGCTGAGGAAGTTTTAGCAACTGCTGTAATCTGTATGGAAGCTCATGAATTTAAGAATTTGTTTCTGAGGCAATTATTCACTGGGAACATCTTCAGTTTATGACTAAGCCACCTGCCTGTGTTTTGCCGTATTTAAACCTATCAAAGAATCTGAACTTACCAACTGGACTGTTCAGTTGAAACAAAATGAAAATGCTTTTATCAGTGGGAAAGTAATGAAGAACAATAATAATAGCGCATTACTAATTACTTCCTCTGAATTAAAAAGTTAATGAGGAGGAAAATGGCACATCATTTTTACTATTCTCTCCCTTCCCCCATTACTTGTACTAAGGTGAAGATTCTTTACCCCTTTTTAATTTTTGTGCTGTAAACCCAAGGTTGCAGATGTAGAAGTAATTTATCTACAAGATTCTTCCCAGTGGAGCTGTAATTGGGACAGCCATAACCAGGTCTGCCCTTTGTGTAGGGCTCATGTATTTAAATAAGTCCTGTTCATTTTGGAGAGTTTTATAGAAGGAAAATAAGAGTTTTGCTGCGTGTGGAATGTCATAGATAGTTCATGGCGTAAGATTGAGGTAATGGGTCTCTTTCTATGTATTTACAGAAAAAAGCCCATCTGTTCTAAACTTCTACAGTTACTTTTAGGATTTATGTGGCATCAAAATTTAAGTGCCTAACAAGATATGTAAGGTCATGCTACTCTATATACGTACATACACACTGGTATTGATACTCAAGGCTGAAAGCTTTTTCTTTGAGCTTTATGATAATGTACTTTGCATGGAGGGAGGAGAAGACATGAAACAAGGATGAGTCAGATATTTTTTTCTTTTTCAGTTGTTTAAGGCCAGTTGTTTAAACAACTTAAGTTGCTTAAGACTTCAAAAGTCTGATGGAGTTTATTATTCATGGCAATAGATAAAGGAGTTTGCATAAGTACAGTTCTCCTTGTAATAGGATGTTGTAGTGGGACCATCATATTTGCGTCCTCAGTGAAGTTCTGATTTTTAGCTTCTATAACAACCAGAGCCTGGTTGTAGAAAGCAGCCTTAGGAAGTTAGGCAGAGTCAATGCCTCTTCAGACAAACTGGGTATCAGAGTGTGGGGGTTTTGCTTTTATCTCAAAGAATGAAGGGGAAGGAATGGATGAGGTGGAATAAGGAAAAGAAAATAAACATCTTGGTGTAAGTTGAGTTGGCCAAAAGATAAATTAGAACAAGGCTCTTGGATTTTTTTCTCCTGCTGGTGTCACTATTGATACATAGAACCCAGAGATACTTTATTCAATCAGCAGATGTCCAAGGGAGAATTGTAGGCAAGACAAATGGTTTTTAGGCAAGAGCAGGTTGTTTTTAAGCATAGGAGGGCATGAATTATTCCTCCTGAATTCCTACCTAATGCAAAGGAGCTGTTAGGTCCATCACTTGCTCCACTGTTTCTTCAGATGGGATCATCCTCCAATCAATTCTATTCACTTTATCTTTTTAATATGAAGAGTACTTAACCATAGACAGGACTTCATTCTCTTCTTTCTGCACCTCTGCTGATAGATCCTTGAGTCTTTGTGATTGAAATGTTCTTAGCTGTGAATTTCCATCATTGAAAAGATTCGGGACAGGGAAAAATTTCTGTGGGTTTGATATAATCTGGTAGAATCAACAGTTTGAATCTGCCTCTGAATAAATTCTGTTCAGTTGTATAGTTAAACTGCTAAAGTACAGTTTAAGAACTCTATTATAATTCTGAGTGACACTTTATCGGAGTATTTATTTGAGTGAATTTTGAATAAAAATAGATTCTGAAATTACCAGATAGGAACTTTACTCTGACAGTCTTTCCTCCTCCTGCCCACTGTCTTCTGCAACATCCCTTCACAGACTCACCCTTGGGCTGCAATTGTAATTAAATATAGCAAATGTTATTATTTAAGATCTTGATCATCCACATGGATATGACCACAAGGGCTTAAAAGGTTCTTCATTAGTTTTGTGGCACCAGAATTTGCTTGGGGATCCAAGGTAAGACCTGAAAGTGTAGAGGGACTGAGAACCACCAAAAAAGCTCTGTGTTCCTTAAAATGGTAGTTGTCCTGGTAGCCCTTTATATCTGTAGATCAAATGTGAAGACCAGACTCACCAGTACGATTTGGCTGCTTTATGCTGCTGTTCTAGATTGAAAGGTATATCTTTCAGTCATTAGAACTACTTTACAGTAATGTTCTTTTCATTTCTTGGTCAGTAATTACATCTGAAAATTTCCTGTGATGTTATAGCTATGCAAAGAGAAAAGCTCTGCCAAGATGGGAGTTCAGCCTGAGGTCACTTATCTGTGAAATGAGATTGAAAAGAAAAAGCAAATTGAGTTTTCAAGAGGTGGCACTCATTATTTTGGTACAACTCTGAACGCATCAGGACTAGACCTAGGCTTGCTTAGTACACCATGCAAATTGAACTATGACTCATTTAGAGTATTGAAAGTTGAGACAAATGGGTTTTAACATATACTAAAGCAAGAATCAAGGACAGTGACCTTATTCTCTCTGCCATTTTGAAGCCCTGGAGTGTGGGATGACTCCGTAGGCATTGGGACACAACAGCTCGATGGCTCCAGAGCAGGCAGGGACCACCTGCCAGCAGACACACGTCTCCTTGTGGATCTTTTCTGGTAGCACTTCTTGACCAGGAATGGATGGAGAGAGTTTGCTCACAAATCTGTGCATCTGAGACTTGACCTCGTGCCATCTCTGCTAAGAGCTATTTGATGGGAAGTTAGTTGATGAATGAATGGCCTTCTGAGGAGACCTGGAGGAGGCTTGCTGAGTAGCTGGGGCTGGAGACTGAGTAAGGGGGATGCAGGAGAGAATTTGAACAAGGAGCATTTTCCACTCTGATCAGAAAACACAGCATTTATATATAAATCTTATTTTATTTCATGCATACTTACATACTTTGTACATACTTATTTTATTTCATGCATACTTACATACTTAAATATACATATTTTGTACATACTGAAATGTACAAAAAGAATTATAATTTAAAAATTAGTTTTCCAGGTGACTGTTTATACAGTCTATATTCCTGTCTTAAGTTTTTTGGTTACAAAATTTGAACACAATTAGAAGAAAAGTTTTTCAGAAATACAGGTTACTAGTAGTGTTTCACTGTCTTTCATCCTTAATTGTACGTGGGAATATTAATGCTTTCTGCACTTTTCTTGAGAGAGATTCATATGAGGATGATCATATGAGGGATTGTGAGGCACTCGAATGCAACTCTAGTGAGGGCCATTTAACTGTGTAGTCAGAACTGAGCCTTGGAAAGGAAACCACTAGGTGATAAAACTGGGTTTAAACCAGCATTATGTTTTTTTCATGGGCAAAAATATGAGATATTTCTACTACAAACGAAAGGGAAAATAAAAGGACTTCCTAAGATAACTATGTACCCTGGAGAAGTACATGAAAGTCTTCTCTAACAGAGAAGAAATAACTTCATGAGCAGGGGAGACCTTATTTCAAGACAAAAAAATAGAAGTTGGGAGGGTTGAGGTGTTCCGTGGTCCTGTTTCTCTGTTTCTGGAGTGTGCATGCTCTTTTTCTTTTTTTCCTGTTTTGGTATGGATTTTTTGGTCAGTCATTAAAAAATAAATAAACAAAATAAAACAAAAAAACTGTTAACTGTTGGCTGCACCTACCTACTGTCTTCCTCTGTGTAAATAAGATTCATATAGAAAAAGCTTGCATACAACCTGCATATCATACCCATAGCTACTTCCAGGATGAAGTATATTCCAGCCCCATACTCCATGAGAAGTCTTCCTCATTCTCCTCTATTCATGTACTGATGCCACTTACAAATGGCCAGTCTCAACACTGAAGAAAACTGCAAGTTCAGGGCACAGCAGCCTCCCCTGCTGCAGCATGTAGCTGTAGCTTTGGGTGCCCTAGGGGCCCTCATATATTATTCTGATAATTGAACCCAAGGACCTGTAAATATTTCCTATTTGAAGAGACAATTGAGTGCGGTTGTGAGTAGTTTCAAAACAAGTATGTTGGTTCTCCTTAGCTTTGTGTTGTAAAACACCTTTTATATTACATTTGCATTGCAAAATGGATTGGAAATTGGGAAGAGGCATTGCAGAAATCACAAGAATGAAAATATTATGGTATGCAAATGAATAATGTGTTGACCTCTGTGAATCTTTTTACTTGATATTAATTTTTGTTCACTCTGCTGCAGACACTGCTTGAGTCTATGGTGGATGCAGCAGAAAACCTTTGCCCAAACGTAATGAAGAAAGCTCATATCCGGGAAGACCTGATCGAGGCTAGCACTGAGAAGATTTCCATCCCACGCACTTTTGTGAAAAACGTCCTTTTGGAGCAATCTGGAATTGATATCCTCAATAAAATTAGGTAGTTTAAAAATCTAGTTTAACAAAATTGACTATAGAGTTTAGAGAGCACTGAGTTTTGGGTGTGTGCATGTATCTTTTTGCAGGAGGAGATTTTTCAATATCCAAATGTGGATACTGAAAGAAAAAGAGGAGGCATGGTCAGCTACCCTAAACCACTTTTAATTTCTTCTTTAAAAATATCTATTTTTTTCCTGACTTTTTGCTGCATCTTTATTTTCATATTAAATGATAAATTTTATGGCATAAAACACAGTTGTTCTCTAGTTAAACTTTTGCAGTTGCTGTTGACTAAAGATTCCTCTGTACTTTATGGAAAAGCATCTTGCATTGTGATGCTAATATCTTCGCAGGAAAAGAGGAAGCGATGTTTATTTTTAAAAACAGTAAGACTTAGAATTCAGTTTTGCAGAGTGCAGCAAAATTGGCAGGAAAAGGTGTAAAAGACTTTAGCTATGCATTTAGAGTGTTTAAAATGGTTCAGAGGGTGAGTTTTTTCACTTTAATCCTATCAATCACATCTTTGTGTGAAGACAAAAATAGTACCTCTTCATGCATTTTTACCCCTTCCTCCCTTTCCTCTCTTCCTGCCTATAGAAGCTTCAGCTAAATGCGCTGAGGTGCCTCACTGTAACTTAACTCTTCCTGCTTTATATTATTTAAATCTAGTGTGAAAATAGTAGAGGCAAATTCCTTCTTTGGTGTCATTCTCTTCTCAGTAGCCTTGCTCACCATTCTGCCTCCTTCCCTGTGTGCTTCATTGCCTCTCCAGGTAGTTTCTTGCCTTGTTTTCCCCCATAAACTTCCTGCAGCAGAAGTGCTAGCCCAAGATAGAAGTTGCTTTCTTCTTCCAACCCAGTTTTATTCTGTGCATAGAAACTTCAAGTGAAACTATGATACTTGCTGGTAAATGTCAGATGGGGCAGCTGGTCTTGAAACCAAGGAGGCAGAAGAAAAGGAGCTTCAGGATACAGCTCAGGCTGCATCATTACATGCTTGTCAGCCGTAGATCAACCCTCCTCCCCAGCCTGAGCATTTTGTACCGCAACCAAGGAAAGGACCCAAGGGAATAATTCATGGTACACATTCCCTTGAAGACAAATAACCACTGAAATGTCAGTAAAGCCTACACGGATATTGGTGTTCCACCTATCTCTGAGTAATAGGAGTGACGTGACATCAAGTTCTTAAGGCAGGAAGTGGGTTACCTAGAGCAAAAGGAGGAATCGATATATAACCAAATAAAATATGGTGGCAAATTCTGGAGAACAGACCTTTTACAGTTGACTTTGGGCAGACAGATGGATACCAAAAGGACTTGAGGAAATGAGTGAATTGTAGTTGTTCAGTGTAGTAATAATTAAACAGGTAAGAGAACCCTAATGCTATTCATTTGAGATCTGTATTTCTCCAGCTTCAGCAGCAGAGTGTTCCTTTCTGAGTTTCACATGTGGTTCTTGTTCAATTCTGTCCTTACCCAGATGTTTTCATTTCAGCTGTTAAAAAAATGTCAGCAGGTTAAAAATGGTACAGAAGGAAACTGTTATGTTTATTGTATGATTCAAGAGTTTATTTCTGAAACCTGCAGTCTTGTATCCTCACACCCTCTAGTGTTTTATTTCAAATAAAGTGACTTCATTTTGTATGATCGTGGCACTGTTGAAATACTGAAGACAGAGTTCTTCTGTGTGAATTAAAAACTTGTCTGTTCTCATTTTTAATCATTCCACAGTGAAGTAAAGCTGACAGTGGCCTCTTTTCTGTCCGACCGAGTTGTAGATGAAATCCTGGATGCACTTTCCCACTGCCATCACAAATTGGTGAGTATTTGCATGGTTGAATGTCTGAATATGCCACATATCTTAAGAATTCTATTACATTCATGACTCTTGAGTTCCTCTTCAGCACAGGTCCTTTCTGAAATAGGTCCCATTTTCTTTGGCAAGTATGTTTTTGAGACTATTGCTCTTTTGATTTCAGGAGGAAGCAACGTCAGAAGAGGCTGCATTACATATTTGCTTTATTATCTTTTGCATCATTATCAGATCTAAAACTAAAAATGCCATCTCGATGCAATGCTGAGTAATTAGTTAAGAACAGAGTCATTAATTAGTTGTGTTGGTGAGACGGTAGGGGCTGGCTGCTTGTGTAATCAGAGGTGAAATATTCTTTACAGAGAGACTGTTGAGATGTGCCTCAGAGACCTGGTTTCCTAAATGAGTACATATTGAGGCTACCTTTGAAATGGAGACACCAAGTTAGAGGAGAAGGAAGTAGAAACGTAGGAAAAGAAGTGCTCTGCTGTTTATTTGAAGATATGCAGGTGTTAAAACCAATCATTTGATACAAACGTACTTGTTTCCTGAAGAGTAAAAGAAATACAGGTCTGTGTATCCATAGAGAAAAGATATATATGTGTATTTATTTTCTAGGTAGTAGGCATCCATAAGGGGCATCTAGTGCTTTACTAGTACTGAAGCCAGTAGGTGGTCACTCTTACTGGTGAATTGCTCCGTGTTTCTGATTGGAATTTGCTGCTCCAGTTTCCAGTGCTGAGTTTTTCAGCTGCTTTTCTCTGCAAGATTAGAGTGCCATCTATTCCCCTTTACTTCCTCTGCTTGGCAGTTCTCATCTGCAGAAATCAAATGCCTCTGTTGTATTTTGTGTACGTTTGTTTGGTTTGTAGAAGTGTGTGAGATGGAATTATTTACGGTGGTGTGTGTGTGTGTGTGTGTGGCCGTGCGAAGACGCGGCCGCTGGTGCGAGGAGCTGCGTAGCAGCCTCCCACGGCAGCTGCCGCGCGCCCGGCCCCGCTAACGAGCTCCAGCTGGTCCCGGGGCCAGCGCAGCTGGCAGGAGCACCGGCTTGTCTGAGTCCTGTGGCATTGCACAGCTTGCACGGACACCGATTCTTGCACAGTGAGTCACCGTCTTCAAGTCATTTTGTTGGCGATCATCTGCACTTTCTGTAGCCTTTCCAGAACCAGCGTGGGTTTTAGCCAGCACTACATGTAGCAGTGATATTGCTCCTCTCTTGACATGCCTTTATCTTCCTTTTTTGCATTGACAAGGAAATAAGGTCCTTTCATTTGTCAAAATGTTGCAGTGGTAGCTCGTTTTCATCACTGGGTGCTTCTCACTTCCAGTAGCAGCTTCCAAGATACTTGTCAGTCGGTCACTGCTCTTCAGGGTTGTGTCCATAGCTAATTGCCAGTGCTCTTCATTTGTAGGGAATGATTTGACTGACTCTTTGATTTGAGTTGGTTTTCTTTCAATCCCTTTTGGCTTACAGCAGTAGCATGTCCTTTTCACAGTTTAATATTCTGCCATATTTTTATTAACTAGGGTTTATTTCAGATAGCACCATTGATGAAAATGTCAAAGAGTATAGATATCAAAAAAATTATTGGAGGAACTTCAGTAGAATATGTCTGTGTTAATCTTCAATTGATAGCTACAATCTAAGAATTGACAGTTCATAATAAAGGAAATATTTTATACATTGATCCTGTGCTATGATAGCTCCTTCAGTTGTGAGTGTCATGTACTGCTATTTCAGCCACCTGCAAATATCTAGGTATGTTGCATTGATGCATTGACGTTTGAAGTAATTTTAATAAATAAACTTTTTTTTTGACAAGATCTGTGGGTTTTTTTGCTTTTCTTTTTTTTTCTCAATAGACCTTCTCCCTTCCTTCTCTAGAATGCGTAATGGGAAGATTACTAATATTAACATACTGAACTGAGCTGTGCTTTTGTAGGATCTATGGTCACTTGAACTCTTCAAACTTGTTGTTTTGGTTTTGTCTTTTTTTGATTGACTTGGTTTTGGGTTTTGGTTTTGTTTTGTTTTGTTTTTGTTTAAGGTCTGATTGATATATTCCCTTCCTTACCCCTGCTGCTAGGCTGACCATTTGACCAGACGTGGCAAACCACTTCCATTACTGGAGATTAATTTAGCTGAAGAAAAACCTACTAAACGCTCTATTATCACGGTTGAGGAGCTGACAGAGATAGAACGTTTGGAAGATCTGGATACTTGTATGGTAAGACACATTTCCTCAGTCCATTTTGTAAAAATATAAATTACTGTAAGGAAAATAAATTTTCAAACTGCAGTTTGGCAACTACATGACATCAGGAAAAATAAATATTAGCTTATGAAAATTTTGTCTGGGCTACATATTGCTACTAAAACTTTCTCTTACTTTTCTTCACTTTCCCTTTCCTATTTGAGGACCTTTCCCTTGCATGCATTAGTACCATAAAACCAGTACTATAAATGGCTTTTTTCAGTCTGTGGTTTCATAGGGGTGTGGTTGCAGTATTAAGCTGGATCATGTTATCACAGAAGGATTGAGGTTCTTTAATGATCATCCGATCCACCCCTCCCTGCTCAAGTAGGATCACCTAGAGCAGCTTCCTAAAGGACTCTGTATTTTGAATATCCTGTTTTTTTAATATCTCCAAGGATGGAGCCTTCACAACCTCTCTAGGCAACCCGTTCCAGTGCCTGGTCATCCTCACAGTAAAGGAGTTCTTTTCCATGTTTTCAGATGGAGCTTCTTGTGTTTCAGTTTGTGCCCATTGCCTCTTGTCCTTTGGCAAGTACCACTGAACAAAGTCTGTTCCCAGCTTCTTTACACCCTCCATTTAGGTATTTAAACACCTTGATAAGATCCCCCTCAGGCTTCTCTTCTCCAGGCTGAAGCCTCACAGCTCTCTAAGACTTTCCTTATGCTCCAGTCCCCTAATCAGCTTCGTAGCCCTATGCTGGATGCCCTCCAGGAGCTCTATGTCCCTCGGGTATTGGGGAGCCCAGAACTGGGCATAACACTACACATGTGGCCTTACCAGGGCTGAGCAGAGGGAAAGGGTCATCTCCCTCCATGTCCTGTTGGTGACGACATGTTCCTTTCTGACTTTGTCTTCATTCTACTTAGTATCAGTTTGTCTGAGCTGTGACAAATTTTGTTTGTATCTTGAAGTTCTGCTACTGGCCATGAACAGAATTTTGGGTGTTCTTAAAATTATTTTTAGGATGTATGGAAGAGGTCTTTAAATCTTGAGTTTGGGCTGAAAGTGATCTTACAGCACAAACTTTTGAAAAGTATTTGAGTTAGGAATGTGAGATTCAGTAAGAGGGCTGAACATAAGATTTATAATGCACTTCAGTAGTTTATGTGTGGTTTTTATAATTAATATGTTCCAATGCTGTATCATGATTCTTCGAGATGTAAATCCATAAACTTGGTTGTTAACTGTTTTTAACCCCAAATTCCCCTGCATCCAGCTCAATCTGTTGAGGAATTCTGCTACAAAGATTTCTGTATTTTAATTTAGTAAACCCAGTTGGTGACCACTGCTACAAGGGACAGTCTGTCTTCTCAGCTACCTTCTTCTTGACTGCATGCTCTCATAGGCTAAAGCTAAATGGATTAAAAAAAAAAAAAAGTCTGTGTAATTTAGTTGACTGGCAGCCCTGAATACACTCACTGCAGAGCTGGGCAAGTACAGTTCAAGGGAAGGGGCAACAGGATTGCTCCCTTCTGCAGCAGCCGTCTGTTTTGGGGCGTAGCTGAAAAATGAAAGCCCCATGTCATTGGAAGCATTAGCTTAAAATACTTCTCTCTCCCCTCCAAATCTGCCACCTTACCAAGATTTAGTTTGATGCAATGCTTGTCCAAACATCACAGATCCCTCTGAGACCTGTGTCTTTGACTGCATCATTGGCTCGTCATTGTTTCTATCGAGTTCAGGGGCTTTCTGCAGCCAACATTCATTTTGATCCCTAAACCCTACGGGACAGAGAGGTCACAGTAAAATATGTAGCATCCTAACCCTGTACCTGTGAGTGGATTTCCATGTGCTGGATTCATCTATAGATGAAGTTAAGTTCCCTCCCTACCCTCTTTAGATTTATTCCTGTAGTGTGTTAATAATATTGAAAAAATAAAAAATAGCTCTTGTCTCCATCTAGTTTCACCATGGTTGTATGAAAGGATAATATCGCTGTGCTGTTATCTTTCATTTTGCTCATATTAAAATAATGGAAATGCGATGATGTTTACACTCTTTAAAACATGCATTAGATGCTAACTGTGCTTACTTTGAAGAGTGTTTATCTCTCTCTATTCTCTTCATTCACCTTTATCTCACACAGAGATTTAAACACCTTTGTGATCCAGGTTCTCATCAATATCTAATTTATGAAGAGAATGAACGATCAAATAAACACAGGATATAAAGAAGCAGTGATCTTACACAATGCTAAAGAATCTATTTATTAAAGACTCTAACCCTTTTCTAAAGAGCTGGTTTTTTTGCACTGTGAGTGCCAGTGATATTGGTTGCTGTTTTTTGCTCTTTTTTTAAGCCCCAAGAGGCTGAGCAATACAGAGATTTTGACAGAGCTACTGTGCTTATTGGTTGGGAGGGCTTTTTGTGCCTTTGTTTCTTGCTTCTAAAAGCATCTTAAGGAGAGATTTCTTGGCTCTTATGAGTAGAGTTAATATTTTAACTGATGAAAAACTGGAAGTGGTTTCCTCATTCTTGCCCTCTGGGTCGTACAGATGTGTGCACAGATATGGGGAACCTTTTAGAAAGTAACAGTGAATGCTTTGAGAGTAGGTCAGTGCAAGAAACATCTGTTACTGAAAGGTTTCACTAGAAAGAGAAGCATATGGTTTTATGAACTGGAGCCTACTTTCCTGTGGTGATTTTTAACCTTGAATGGGAAATAGCTGTTTAGCTGCAGCTTCCGAAATGGTGTTGTCCCAAATGGCACTGCCTTGCCTGCCCCTTGGAGATCCCAAAGTCTTGCAGACCAGGCGGGAGCTGTGGGAGCAGATGTACCTGGCTCTGCATTTGCAAGCCTCAGCCTTGAAGCCTTGAATTGCAGCTTGCTGCTCTCCATGTTTGTGAGCTTGCTCTCATATCGCCAGGAGAATATAGTGAATAATGAACATGGACTGAGCTGATAACGTCCCTGCTTTGCTCGAACAGCTTGTGAAGATGTCTGGGAAGGAGAGACCTTGTGCTTATAGAAGAGACACTGAGCGTGGACCTCTGTTTTGGAGGAGCTGGGGTTTTTTTGAGGTTGCAAAATTGGAATTATTATGCAAGCCCGTTCTCTTCAGCCAGCCTGCTGCTCTCTTGCTTTTGTCCCCTTCAGCAAGCCCGCTGAGAATCAGTTTTCTGGATGCAGCTGTGTAGTAGCTTGTTGTTTGCACTGGTCCCCGCTGAAGCTGAGCTGAGCAAGGAGGGCAAAATCTGGTTTTAGGTTCAGTTTTGGCTTTGGTCTTCCCTTAGGGCTATGGAGAGAATATGTAGCACTGAGAGGTGCTATGTAGTGAAAGGTGCTGGGTGAGTGATTAGGAGGGAGGCAGATGTATTTGGGATACAATGTTTGCGAGTTGTTTACTCTGATATACTGACTGAAATTGGAAGTCAGGAGGTCTGTTTAGGAAGCGCGGACAGCCAGAAAACCAGTCTGAAGAGCAAATGAGCTCCATTGCAAAGCCTGTCCACGAAGTGGGGACAGAGAGGCTTTGCCATCTCAGCAAGAGGAGTCGCCATCCGCTTCTGAGTTTCATAGAATCAGAATGGAATATCAGGGAGATGCCTTTAAAGTGCACTGCTAAAAAGAATCTTCTAAATGTTTTCTACCATTTTTGCTTGGAAGAAAGAGTTAGGACGTATTAAATTCTGTACCGTAGCTGCTCAGCTGAAACTAATAGGATTTGATTCTCCTCCAGCATTTAACTGTGGCCAGAGAGCCGGTAATACGAGTGATTTGTCAGCCGTACCCGAATTTGCCAACCTATTAAGGGAGCACTGGAGACGGGGAGTGATTGAGTGGTGCCGGGTAGGACGTGATGGCTGGAACGTTATTGACCTGAGAGTCTCGGATCTCCCTGAGCTGCACTACAAAAAATTGATTCATCCCTAATCTATAGCAGTCTTAGTTGGCTCCTTTAATTAGAGCTGTGGCGACTGTAGTAAGTCTTCACATAAAAGTTATGTGCAAGTCAGAAGTCTTTATGCACAAAACAACTTGCTGTTCTCAGTTAAAAGCAAAAGCTTAGCCTGCTTTTCAAAGCTTAGACTAAATCATGAATTAACTTCACAAAGTACTTTTCCTAGATCTCTATGTGTGTGTGTAACAAAAATAACATTTTAAACTAATGCATGCATTTTTAAAACTAGCTTTAAATCACTTTTTAAAATTTTACTGAGGTAGACTATTTTGTATCTTGATATGTGTAATTGTGTAGGTAAGTACTAATTGATTTCATTTTGTGTAATGCTACTAGATGTGCTTTATTCTTGCATAGCCACTAGTTCTCTGCAGAAATAAGAGATTTTAAATGATATTTAGTTCCCCACCAAAACATAATGGGTGTATCTTTTTTAGATTACATTTAGCAGTTATATTTTAAAGTATTCTTTTAGGCAGCTTCTTTATTAGAAGTCTGTGTGTTCATCATCTTTAAAACATACATTCCAGAAATATATTAGTATTGCTGTCATTAATAACAAGCAAAGAGCCAGGACAAATACTGTGTTTAGAGCAAAGCAGCAGTCAGTTTATTTCCATTATGAAGAGATATGATAGGAAATTGTCTGAAAACATGTAAAGGAATTGCAGGCTGTAATAGACAAGTCTGCTTATAAATCTTCTTTAAAACATTCAGTACAAGACTGAAATGCTTGGATGGTAAATTAGGTGTTTGCAAAAATGCTTGCAGCTAATAAAAAATGGCTGTGATGAATGTTTGAAACTTCACCATTACTCATCTGTTTCTAATTTTAACTACAGAGGTGGTTCTATGACTAATAGAGGAAAGATTTAAAAAAAATCATAAGCAATAAGTTAATATTTTTGTCTTTAGTGAACAATGTTTGTCACCTGTACAGTGAAAAGATAATTTACAAAAGTAACAGAGCAGCTGTGATATGTATTACGTATCACTTCTCAAAATATCACCTCAAAATACATATGTGGTATGTACTTTTTTCCTAGTCCTTGTTGGGATTTGGCGTG